CTTCAGATAGTTTGGAAATGGCTTTATAACCTTACAATGATTAACTGAATTTGAAGGGTTAAAGAGTATCTCAAAGTGATTAATATGTCAAAACCACTTCACCCGCAATTCTCTCAGGTGTGACTCCTTTTACAAACCACTGCTTAAGTTTACGTATAGATTCTGGGCATGTGTGTGTGTCTTTGTCCCTCTCCTGACCTCACAAGTTGTCAGACTAGCTGTCTCCCTTTCTTTTATACCAATCCCCCTTTCTCTCTTACCTCTTTCCTTTCTTACTAAACATTTACTCTGAGAAGAGACTTCTTCTAACCTTATCTACAAGACAGCCCTCTGTATACACGTGTCAGTGTTAGATATCTGTACTTTTTCAAGCAGGACACACAAGTCTTTGGATTTTAACATAACATTTTGTCTAGGAAAGGAGCTTTCCTGTAGGAAGTCTACTAAATGAAAGTGCTGTTCTTAAACACTGACTGTACCAACAATAACATGGAACTTTTTAAGATGTGAGCCTGCATTAGCTCACTTCATTTTACTGCAGTACCTGGTATCTCTTTAGACACAGTGCTATATTGTGTGTGTGTGTGTGTGTGTGTGTGTGTGTGTGTGTGTGTGAGAGAGAGAGTCTGCTTGTATGTGTATATACATATATTATATCTAATATATGGGCTCTCGAGTGCATGCACTTGCATGGTGTTTAGCATTTTGCATGTAAATATGTGCACAGTAGATGTTCATAGTGTGCACATGTGGATGTTTGGCTTGGTGCATGAATGTGATAGGGTTTGACATTTGGCACACCACCATAACTGTGTTGTTATTCTGTATAGTTTAGCTCTCCCCAGTAGAAATAAATCTGAAATTGTTTCCTAAAAACATATTACGCCATTAGCGTGAGTGAATTTGTGTGCGTAGAAACCAGCCAATGTTTTAGACTTTCTTTTTATCATTTTCTGATTTTCCCATTTCCGACCGTCTTATTATTTTCCTACCTGAACAACAAAATAGGGCTTTTTATATCAACATAAACCACCACTATCATTGCTTTAATGACTTGTATGTTTAATCTGTTTAATCTATAATCTGCTGTAGTTATCTATTTCTTCATCTTTCCTTCACATGATGATGCTTCTAATGAATATAAGACAAACCTAATTTATTCCAGTGTTCCCACATGCTGGAAAACATTCCATTATCATGTGTCATCCTGTTATAAACTATTCCACTTGCCAAAGATCCCAATAAATGTCATAACATCGTTTGGTCCTATTTATGTTTAAAACAGCTTTATTACACTCACCTAAAAAGATCAGTTACCCAAGAGCAAAACTATGTGTAAGTATGTACAATAATGGGGGCAATTCTTTCCAAATGAAGAAAGATCATTCTTCTTTAACATCCTGTCCCAACCTTTTTAAAATAGGAAAAAAACGTATCCTTTGTGAAGGGTTGGGAGTGCAGATTGAGAAAAACAAGTCCCTATAAGGGGGGGAAAGGAGAAAAGAGGACTGGAATGTCAAAATAAACTCTCATTCTGGCAAGGCTTCATAGGTAATAGATCAACATCCCTTTTTCATGCTAGGAAACCTGTTTTAGGCGCTGTGCACAGTACCTCTGTTTAACTTGACGCATCTGGATGCTGGGTTTTGCTTTAGTAGCTTAACTGAAGGGCAAGAGGAAATCAATATAGCCAGAAAACACACAGTAGACCTGCAGCAAGTTATAGAAATGTTTATGTTTATATTAAACCACACAAAATTCTGAATGTTTTTTTATAATCTTGCTTCTAATAGAAACTTCTACCTCTTGTTATCCCCTACACCTCACCAAACTCCACCATCCAAATTAGTCATGTTTTTGACATCTCAGAGAAGTAAACTATCTTTCATTCTTTTTGCAGAACACTTTCTCCAGCGTCTTTCACATGGATTATGAGGAACTGGTGAAGGACTTTGCTGGTGAAGTCCTAGATGCCCCAAAAAGGTAAGAGGATCACCCTCAGCACAAGCCTAGTAAAATGGCATTCGAGTGTTAATGACTTTATGCCTTCAGGCATACTCTAGCTATTTTCATCAGTATTTTTGCAATGTTGAAAACTGTCCTTTCTCTCTCCCTAAGAGGCCTTTAGATGACATTTGCATAATGGGCACTTGCACAAAGATCTATTATCCTTATGTAGAAGGAGATGTTTTGGAAGTAATGAAAGTCTTAGGCTACATTCACACTGCAGGTCTTAATGCTCAATTCTGATTTTTTGATCAAATCCGATTTTTTGTCTGCTCGTTCACACTACAACTAAAATGCGACAGCAAACGTGCTCTAGTGTGAACGCTCAAAGCGGCCCGCATGCGCAAAAGAAGATGTCACACACAACGCGCTCTGTTTAGACCCAGACCAAACAGTATTGTTTGACTGATGGCCTTAATATAAAGACTTCGGACTTTACGTTTCCCAATTTTTGCTTTAAGTTATTTTGTTATTTACATAATAATGTAAATAACCTAATAATGATCCTTATTGCTGTTTTAGAGGAGCGGTGCTTCAAAGGATAGTTGCAGATTTCTGTCAGAATCTGCAGATTATACAGTACAAATAAAATGTTCACGTTGTCTTCCCAACAGTTTCACTGGATGGCCAGGAAGCGTTGTCTTATCTGGCGCTTCTCCGGCGCTGATAATTAGCATCTGTCTTGTGTCAGTGACGTAAAAGACGGATTTAATTCGACATGACCATTCAAACAGCAGTCGCTTTCTAAAACATCGAATATGTATCCGATTCAGTACCACATACGAAAGTGACCCAGATTGGATTTGAAAATATCAGATTTGTGCCGTTCACACTGTCATACCATTATCGAATATGGGTCGCAACTCGCAAAGTTGGATTTGATGCGCTTTCGCCTGCAGTGTGAATGTAGCCTTATTATGCCCCTTCAGTCACACTGAATTGATAGTGTAGACAAGAACGAGGGGTTCAATACTCTTACGTTTGCTGAGCTGATTTGCAGCCTGTTGGGATCTTTTTAAGGTAATCCAAATTCTTCACCTGCCATATTCCTAGATATTCAACTGCAGGATTTCAGTACAAAGCTTTTGGTCCTCATTAGCTGGGCCCTTTTGGCTTCATTGCACTGTCCTTAGATTAAAGTTGACAGATCTTGGGTTACAACCCATTTACCATGATGATGCGGACGCTTTTACTGACTTGGAGGCCATCTGAACCCTTTCTCAGAAAGCATCCATTATGAACATTGTTTTGAGATACATGTGCACTCCTATTACATCTGACAACTCAGGTGGATGATGGAGATTTTGGTTGCTGTTAGTGAAAGGTTTGTTGTGTTCCCTGAATTATTACTAAGCAGTTTTTGTGGCGTTGTAGGGCACATGGTCATATTGGTGGAAACAGCTGCCATTTCCATGAGCCGTGTGCTTGGTCTATAGCTCAGGTGGTAGAGCAGATCACCTACTAACCGGAATGTTAGATGGGAAGCACTTAGGAACAGCATAGAAAAAAGTGCTTGTGCGATTTGGTGTGAATATGTGAATGTACAAGTTGTGTAAAGCGTGTTGAGTGTTCAGATAGAGTAGAAAAGTGCTATATAAGAACCAGTCCATTTAACCTGCAACTTTCCAGTTAGTATCATTGATCAATGGGGTTTGATGAGTGGTTGTTGATCAGTGGTCATGATCATTTGCATATTAATGATCGAGGAACTGACCTCACAGCCCATTGTTCATTTAGTGGGCTAGTTTCAGTCATTGTGAAAATATACTGTTGATAAGATTGGGGAAACCTGCAGTCAGCTGAGACTGAAGAAGTCACTTGGATGAGTGGCGAAATGTTTCTCCTGCTGAAAACGCTACGTCCAGATGAACAGAATCAACCAGTCCGTTTACCATTTAACAGTCATTAGGGGTAGTCACATCCATAGCAGGACATCTCTGTCATGGTCCTGGGTCGTTGACCCAGCATTTTGTGTTCATTATTATTATTATTATTATTATTATTATTATTATTATTATTATTATTATTATTATTATCTTATGTTTGGGGGGTTCTGTCTATATGTATTTGGGGTTGGATGTTCTAGGTCTTTGGTTATAGTTTATGCTCCCGGTCAGTTTCGTGTTTTTGGTTTCGTCAGTGTACACTTCCTGTTTTACTTTGTAGATCCATGTATGACTCCTCTGTGTTCAGTTTTGTGCTCTCCCTGTCTCGTCTGTGTAATTCGGATCAGCTGTGCCTCCCTCCAGTTTGCCATTTTGTGTTCCTCAGCGTGTGTATACATAGTGTCTGGTTACCTGTGTTCCCCGATGGTTCGTTTGTGTTATTCTGCGTCATTGGGTCATCTTTGCGTCTCTCTGCTCCACATTCTGCTCTCCATTTCCAGCTCTCCATCCCCTGTGTACCTCCTTATGTCTTTCCCTGCGTGTGACTTTGTGAGTTATGGTTTCGTGTTTTGTTATTACTAGTGTTCCCCAGTTTAGGTTTATGTTAAGTTCTGCCCTCGCTTTTGTTATTGTGCACTGTAAATAAACTCACTTGCACCTCCGCCACTGTCTGCAACATTCACTCCACCACACGACTGCTGCCCCAGCCGTGACAATCTCACTCCAACTAAATAAGCAATTTCATTCACAGTATTCTCATACTTGGAGACTTGAAGACGGGTGATCGGTAATAACAGTGTGTCCGGATGGGATGTGACTGGGAAGGACCTAAACCCAAGTGGCGTTCTGTTATTGGACTTATGTGCTAACCACAGTTTGTCCATTATAAACACCAAATTTAACCATAAGGGTGTTCATAAGTATAAGTACATGTGGCAGAAGGACAGTCTAGGTTGCAGGTCGACAATCAATTTTGTAAAAGCAGGTTTGCGGGCTATATTCTGGACACTAAGTGTAAACAGGCACTCAATTGTGAACTGATCATCACCTAGTGGTGAGTTGGATCATGTGGTGAAGGAAGATGCAGGAAAGGCCTGGTGCATCCAGACATATAGTGAGGGTGTACTGGCTTCATCTGGAAGAGGCCCAGTAAGCAAGGTATTCGGTTCCCACTTCCAACATGTTCTGCACCCCCTCCTGTCATGGTCCCATTTCAAATCAGATAGTGGTTGCTGGAGGTGATGGGAGCCATCAAGCTGAAGAAGAAGTTGCATGGGGGCTCGGATTGTCTGTAGAACTCTGGAGGGAGCTGGCAGGCCAAGTGGAGTGCAGTTCTTGCAATAGCTCAAACAAAAACTCGGGTGTGGGAAAAGCTCGGTAAGGTTATGGAACAAGACTTTTGATTGGCCTTGAAATTATTCTGGTAAACCACCAAACAACTAAGAAGTGAAAAGTAGTGCTTTACTCACACAGTGTATGATGTGCTGCTGACTTCCACTGAGCATGTATTTGGGCAGTGGAAGGAATACTTTCAGGGTCTCCTCAATCCCACTGACACATGTTCTGGAGAGGAAAGTCTGGGGACGAGGGGGGGTGACTCGTCCATGTCAAAAAGCTTCCACTTTGATGGCCTCATCTCTGCTTTTGGTGAATAATGTGGTCCTGTCAGCTTCATTGGTTGGTGCTAACTTACACTTAATTGTCCTGGTCTCTTGGTCATGAGTCAAAGGAGAGAGGAGCAGGTGATTGACAGAAGTAGATTCTATTAATCTGGATGTAGTGTTTTTTAGTGGGAAAACTAAAATTGCTAGATGAACGGAACAAACTTTTTTGGATTTCTTTACCTGGATGATTGAGCATGCATTAAGAAACAGATGGATTTACAACCTCTGAGCAATAACAGAAAGAATTACATTTTGGATACAAAAAGCAAAAATTAGCTTTCTCCAAAGGCTAGCCGTCGCTTAGAGATAGAGTGAAAAGTTCAGTCATTCAGGATGAACTCAGAGTCACTCCTCCTCCTCACTAAAAGGAAGTAACTGAGTTGGTTTGGGCATCTGACTAGGATACCTCTTTGGTGCCTTTTGGGCAAGGTTTTCTGTGCATATCCTACTCATAGGAGTCCCCACGGTAGACCCAGGGAACACTGGGAAAGATTACATCTCTCAGCTGGCCAAGGAATGCCTTGATGTTCCCTCGGATGAGCTGAAACAACTGACAGGGGAACTATTGAACTGTTTTATATATGGTTTTGGTTGCTCATTAAAAGTTTGTGTATATTATGACTACTAGTGCATTCTTATGCTACATCATTGGTTGCCTGTTAATATGATGCAATTATAATATGTCATGCATAATTAAGGTTTAGTGGGTCTAAATTGGAAGTTATTTTTGTGATATTAAAATTATATTATACATTTATAAGGTCTTACAGGTGCATAAACTTTACAAATAAGCCACTTTAGCAAGTTGTGTATATATTTGCCATGGCAGGAAAAAATTAATGATCAGTAGTTTTTATCTCTGTGTCCTGTTTGTTCTCTAGAAATTATAAAATGTCGCAAATAGTATAATGGACATTTGTAAGGGAGAAACGGGAAAATAAGAGTCATGAAATGATTTGAAAGGAAACACAAAGAGGTGAAGACTGAGTTCCCAACACAGGGTTAAATGGTTTGAGTATTTACAGCCAGGATGAGTAGAGGGCCATGGTACAAGGGAAAGGATTTGGGAATCTGCAGTTGTAGACTTGGGTTGCAGCCAAAAGGGGTGAATAAGAACTGATTTGATTTAAGATACAATGAGATAGAGATCCTTCCCCTTTACTCCCTCCCACTCACTCGTCTTTTGGCATGCTGCTCTCCAGGGCGGCCTGACCTCCACAGTTGCTATGTAGCATCTAAAATTCAATCTTAATCTCATCCTAAGCAATACAATTGGATTGCATGTTTGTATTTGTGTGTGTGTGTGTGTGTGTGTGTGTTTGTGTGTGCAGTTAAGTGTGCATTCACTACATTTTCTGTGTATCAACATATCCATATCAACCTATGCATATATGTTAGTGCTTTATGTGATTTTGATTAGTCGGTT